ATTGAATTCGATTGTGAGGACAATCTGACCAAATGTGTAATGTAATTAATAACTCTTTATTAATATATTCTAATGAAGGGATTGAATGACAGTAAATATAATCGGATAACGCTATAATGTTTGATTAACAAATTGCAGCTGATAATTAACAAAACATATGTCTTTTTGTATGAAAATTTATCTGATAATATTTAGTTGACGAAACGCGAAAGTGATGATTGAATTAATGATTATTTTATTAATGAGGAATATATAGATTTCGCGATAATAGAGATTTGATAACATTGATTAACATAATGTGAATAACAATTAGAGAAATATGATGCCGAAGAATTTCTAAATAAAGATATTTTAATTAATATTACAGCATTTTTATTCAATAATTTTAAGAACGTTTGGTAAAAATATATTAAACATTAAATTTGTAATTAATAATCAAAAGTATTAATATTTTTTATAATTTTATTTCTAATAGATTCAAGCTTTTTTTTGACAATAATTAGATAATATTTTTTGCAAATGGCTATCTTTTAACAATTATTTATATTAATTTATATTAATTTGTTATATTTATTATATATTAATAAATTTATTGTTTTTGTATTTTACAATAGTTATATAACGTCATTTGGTCTGATTTTTAAAAATTTTATTTATTATTATTTTTAACTTTTTTTGTGACACAGCGACATTGAATGTTGATGTATCGTATTTCTGCGATCTTAATTGAAGACTCCACATACTTTCCTCATTCCTGATATCCAAAATCCCATGCATTCCAAGGCCAGCAAGGCAGGTACTAATGAAGTCGTGAGAGGTCGGTCAGGAATTGTGACGCGCTTTTGGGTTGAGCGCGTTTTCGGGTAGTAGCTGGAGTAGGAAAAGGGGAACGGCAGATGATTTAGATTCCACCTAAACGATCTGTCTAAGCCGGCCTGACGGCCGAATGTTCACAGGTCAAGTTCATCGCCGTTCACTTGATATAATGGATTTAATGAGAAGGTAGCCATCTCTACACCCCGACGTGTCAGGATTTGCTCGGTTTCATAGGGAGATAAAGAGGGTCTTGTATACTTCTTCACGCTTTCCGCTCGCAGAAGCAGGCACGCTCGGCGAAGGGCGTAAAGGTGATCCTTTTGGGATCAGAAACAATGGACGTGCCTCTCGAGAGGATAACGACGATGAAAATTGTCAGTTTGTCGTGCATGGTCCCTAATCACTGTTCTCGCGGCTTGTATCTTGTTATCACGCAGGATTGAGCATATGCTACTGTCTGCCTCACGTCTTTCTTATCTAATCATTGACTGCAACCAGATTAATGACGCCGCCATGACGTGTGATGGCTATTCATGCGTTATGTTTTTTGGCGAAATATTCCTCCATTCATTTTAAAATAATATTAATCCCTTTGATATTTAGATTTTGTATATACATTTTTAACAAGATTGATAAAAAGAGAATATATTTTTTTAATCCACTTCTATAAGAGCTTCATTCTATTTCAAATTATTTTGTAATGTCGTTTAGATGTTTTTCTTTTTATTTAGAAAATTATAAAAATAAATTTATTGTATATATACGAATATCAATAGATTATTGTACAATTTTTTAAAATTTCAAAAATATTTTGGCTAAAAAAATCTCTGAAATGTGAAAATCATAGAAATGTTTTCTTCATTAAATTAAATGAAGATCTTGAAATAATTAATCGGACGTTTGTAAATGTTTCTTAAGACTTCTAAAGAGTTATAACTTTTCTTTAACTTTTCTTTAAGCATTCTGCTTTTAAAAATTTTTATGTTTATATATTAAATATATCAAATTAGAAAGGATTATGAAATTATAACATTAGCCTCGCGCTGAAAACATATCGTAACCGTTGTGCATAAATGCTCAATGTAATTTGACACTTAGCTGACACTTGGAAAAAATTAAGAACGTTTTCGAACAGCCGCACTGTTGTCGCCCATTGTCGAAATAGAAAGAACAGCAGCTGTGCGGTAGCCAGCTTTTGGAAACTCGAACATTTATTCACACCTTTACTCTCTCAAACACGTGAAAACACCTTCAGCATTTTTCAGGCAGGTACATAGGTAAGATTGATCTTTTTTTTTTTGAATGAAACATACCACTGTTCCTTTGAATAGATTCTTTTGATTCTTTTTTTGAATTTTCCTTTAACAAAAATACCTTTTCAAAACCTGTCTTGAACTCTTCGTTTTAGCATTCATAAAATTCCTCCGTTTCTTTTTCCTTTGTATGTGGAAATGAAAACTATTTTCTACAACAATTCTGTGGTCTTAGGAATAATAGGCATAAGCTAGAAGGATGAGGCATGTTCGCGATGGCGGAGGAAGAGTTCGCCATATTTGTTTTGAGTGTCGCATACATGGAACCACATGGGACACG